CATAGCACCTGAGCCCAGAGGGAGTCTGGTTGAATGGCTAAGCGCCATCACCATTGCTTAGAAGGGCAGTGTTTTGTTTTCTGAGGGTAGGAATGCCAAGACCCCCTTGCTTTCTAGGTAAGGCAAACAATGTCCCAGGCAACGAGGTGAAACTTGTTCTTCTCTGCCTGTCCTGACCAGAGAAAATTTCTCATCAGTTGTTCTATGCGGTTAGACACCTGGACTGGCATCTGAAACAGGGACATGAAGTAAACTGGGATGTTTGCCAAAGTCGCTTTGATGAGGGTAACTCTTCTTGCAGGGGAGAGGTATCTACCTTTCCAAGTTGCCAGGCGTCTGTCTACCTTATCTAAGACTTGAGACCAAAGGCTCGTTTTACGTTTCCCCAAGCCCAAAGGTAGGCCCAGGTAAGTGGAAGGGAGGTCTTCCACTTTACATTCTCAATCAGGGATGATCGCGACAACTTTTGCTTTTGACATAGCTACTCCCATCATTTTGGATTTCATCATGTTAACCTTGAACCCTGTAGCTTTCTGAAAGCACAAGAGGAAGAGTTTGCGTGTGTCGGTTTCTTCTCGAGAGGCGTCAAGGAAGACGAGGGTGTCATCGACGTATTGCAGGTGTGACACCGTGGGGCTCTGAGAAGTAGTAGAGAAGCCAGAGAGGAGGCAAGACTGGTAAAGGCGGGAGAGGGATCTAGAGAAAACTTCCGCAGCAATGGCAAAGAGAAAAGGGGAGAGGGGATCCCCTTGGCGGAGTCTCCTGTGAGGAGGGAAGTATCCTTTCGGTGACCCATTGATGAGGATGGACAAATGGTGGTGAGAGTAACAACCTCTCATCTAATTCTTTCATCGATTTCTGAAACCCATTCTCCCCATGGTTTCATCCAAGATGGACCAGTCGACGTGGTCGTAGGCTTTTTTCGCGTCAATTTTGAAATTAGTTCTAGTTTCTTGACTAAGTGCCTCGAGTGAAGGCACTCGTTGGCTATGAGGACCCCATCCAAAATCTGTCTATTTTGAATGAAGGCGGGTGGGAGGAAGAGATAACAGTGGGAAGTAAAAGCTGGAGTTGAGAGGCTAGGACCTTTGCAAGAATTTTGTAAGTAGAGTTTAGGAGGCTGATAGGGCGAAAGTCCTTGATTTCCTCTGCCCCTTGAACTTTGGGTACTAGGGCAATGAAGGTGGTATTAAGAGCTTTATGGATGATTCCTCTAAGGAAAATTCATCGAAGAAATTCAGGAAATCAATTCTAAAAGTGCTCCAGAAAGTTTTGAAGGGTGCAATCGGGAAACCGTTAAGGCCAGGGGCTCTTGTAAGATTTCAGCCTCAGAGAAAGGTTGCTCTAACGAGGCAGCTAAGTCTTCTGAGAGAGGCAAGAAATCTAGGTCGGCCATTCTAGGCCTGGGGCCAGTCGAGGCAGTGTATAAGGTTTTGAAAAACTCTAGGATGGCCTGCTCAATTTGTGCTGGTTGGTCCAGAAGGCTGTTGTTAACTCTGAGAGTTGAGATGGTGTTGTCCCTTCTGCGACAATTGGCTATGCGATGGAAGAAAGCGGTGTTGAAGTCTTCGACTTTTAACCATTATTCAAGGTCTTGTTGCTAGAAGATCTCTTCTATTTTGAGGGTTGCCAGGTAGTCAAGTTTGGTTTGAGCTCTGAGGTTAAGTTTCGAGGTGTCTAGGGCTCTTGTTTCTTCAAGGTGGTAAAGGTTTCTGATAGAGTCCAGGAGGAGAGATTTGGTTTTGGAGTAATTGCCGGGGAGGGTTTTGCTCCAGGTTTTGAGGAAAGTTTTAAGGAGCTGAACTTTAGTCTGTAGTCTGTACCCGGCTCTACCCCTAACCTGAGGTGAAAAAGAGGCCCACCAGGTAGGTATTAAAGAAACAAGGGATGTCTCTTGTAACCAAGCCAGTTCAAACCGAAAGGGTTTGGGCCCTCCTTGCACAACGTTTGTATTCAGAAGGATAGGATAGTGGTTAGACACTGGTTTGGGTAAGGCGAGAGCAATGGATCCAGGGAAACGTTCCTCCCAGCTGGTGAAAAAGAGGAAACGATCAAGTTTTGAGAGGGTGGGATTGGGAGAGTGGTTGGACCAGGTGAATTGGCTGCCTTGAAGAGGGATATCGATGAGTTCATTCTTGGTGATGAAATCAGCGAAATCCCTCATGTCCTAGCATATGAAGGTAGAAGAGTTTCGCTCATAGGACCAACGCGTGACGTTGAAGTCTCCTCCCAGCCACCACAAGGGGTGTGGTCGAGCTGCAATGTGATCCAATTCGGACCAGAGTTTGGGTCTGAGCGAGATGTTAGGCCCATAGAGGGTCGTGAATTTCCAGAGGGATCCGGCAGGAATACTAGAGAGTAGAATGGTAACCGAGAAATTCCCTAAGTGAGAGGAAATGAGAGTATGTTCTAGTGGGTTCCAAACCACCCAAATGCCACCTGAAGCTCCATTCGCCGGTAAAGCTACCCACTGAGTAGGTTTATGTCCCTAAATTTGGCAGATGAGCTGCAAGGTGGGCTCTGGTTGTTTGGTTTCCACAAGTTCCAAAACAGTGGGAGAGAGTTTGAGAACGAGGTCTTTGACAACATTCTTCTTGGGCTCTTGACCCAGTCCCTTGATGTTTCTTGAAACGAACTTCATGGATTAGTACAAGAGTGGGGGGAGGAGGCCAGCCTAGAAGAGCTCCTAGGGCAAGAGATTAGAGGGGCAGAGGGGGTGTCCCAGGGGGGGCTTGTCTTGGAAAGAGGGAGAGGAGAAGAGACTAAGAAGTTCCCTGTGTCCTTTGGGTCTCACCTTGAACCTGCTAGACGCGTCAGCAGTTAGAAACTTGTGGGCTGGTCCTTCTGGTCCGTCATGGTGGAAACCCATGATTGAGTTGAGTTTTCCCTTATGGCCTGCCAATTCATCTTCAACCACTCTCTTTAGAAATCACAGCCCAATTCATCTTCATTAATTTGTGATGCTGCCATGCTTCACGCATAGATCAAGCTCTGTGGAGGCAACACTTCATTACAGCCATTAGTTCTTCAATTTCAGCAGAGGTCAATTCTTTCTAAATTCTCTGCAATTTCTATTTGATTCCATCTTTGATATCAGATTTGGGCAAAACAGATTTCCATGTCAAAAATCAATCTATAATTCCATGATTTAAGTACCTTGTAATTGAATTTTTATGGCTGATTTTGTACCTGCTATTCACGCCATTGATACTCGTTTAGACCTTCATTTGACCATTATTTCATCTAGGATTGATGTATATCCGTTGGATCAAGATCGTGAGGTCAATTTGCCCAGATTTGTAATGAAATTGATTGATGATCATGTGTGAACGTTGCTTATTTTGTACTGCAATTTTAGCAACATATTTTGAGCGATTAGACCTCTTCATCTTGATCAAACTGCTGCAATCGAGTTCTTTGGTGAATGTATAATGGCTGTGGTTGAACTTTCATTTCATATGGAAATTGAGTTGATCTAGTTGTATAACCTTCACCTACATTTTGATGAAATCTTGTCTCCCATTGTGCAACACGTTGATCATAGTTAGAAATTCAGCGATTATGCAAACTAATCCTGGGAGTTTTTGATCATCATATTGCTGTCACTTCTTTGCGGAAATCTTGAAGGAAAATTCAGGGGGGTAATTGTACTGTCAAACTGTTCGATTTGTTGCCTCATGTGGTCATGTATATGTGGCTGATTTGCAGAGAGCATTATTCCATGATATGAGGTAGTATCTTGTGCATTACCTTGGCCAACTGGTATGAAACCTATAGAGAACTATCTCATCTGGCATATTAAATATTTAATCAACTTATTTGAGTTGGAGCTGATATGTTGTTGAATTCAGAGTATCATCATAGATATCACATTATCTTGTGACTTGATGCTAAATCTTGCACATAAGCTTACCTCATCATATGATGTTGCTCTAGATCCGTGAGAACACTATTTTCAAAGTGTTATTGCCCTTAGTTCTCTGATCTAAACTATCAGCTAATGTTTCCCATTGGTTGGCACCCAAAATGTTTGATAAAATAATTGTAAATGTTGTTACTTGTGCAATTGGCTTCCACATTAGGGAACTATCATTGATAGCCAGCCACCAGGAAGGCATGACTTATTTGATGTGTATCCAAGTCTTTACGGAGCGACCATAAAGCAGTTGTAGCCTTCCATTTGGTTCATATGAAGAGCTTCACTTAGATCGAAGTGTTGTCATATGTATTTCTCAATTATGCTTGCAATAAAACCTCTCGTCAATTACTGGTTATTTAAATAGTAAAAAAAATAATATTATGCTTGCAATAAAATTTAATTGATGTATATGCTATACTTTTGTACAATTGACTCATGAGTTTTTGTATTTGATTTGGTGCTCAATTTTATTTTGGGATTGTGCCACCTTTTTGATATTCCGCTGCAAATTTGTAGCGAAAGCACATTGTAAGTAGGCTAACCGGACACTCTGTGAATTTTTTTTTAAAAAGTGTACCCAGTTAGATCCCTCTTTTAGAAGCAATGTAAATTTAAGGCATTGATGTATTTATTTTGGCTTTGGACAATAATACTTTTAAGGAAGTTAATAATATCCTTGCTTTTTAAGGAAGGTAATAATATCCTTGCTTTCTATTTTTGTTTCTATTCGTATATAATTTAGAGGATTTTGAGCTACCAAATCTGAAACCTTTTACTGTACAATTTTCTACCTAATTATTGGACTGTGGTCCTCCCATCTTAGATTTTCTTTGAAAGAGGAGGCTAAGCATTATTGTCTTTCAAAGCTGCTTTGATTATCAAGATTTAATCATGAATTACTGCACTCTATTGATACATGATGTCACTTAGTAACTCATGAATGGAGTCAATTGTTGTTTTGGACTCGTATTAGGTACTTGATAATGGTGATGTACTTGGGCACTAATTTACTTTTCAGAATAAATAGTCTCGCTCGTTGTGAAGAGCTACATCAGTGAATTCTCTTTGTGTTTGACCGCAGTTGCTGCCATTGGAGGGATGCTTTTTGCACTTCAACAATTTGCAGGAATTAATGGAGTCCTCTACTTTTCGTCATTGACATTTCATGATGTTGGCATTACGGATGGTGCATTAGCAAGTCTACTAGTTGGTCTCACGAACTTTGCAGGTGATGCACCAGGCACAGTTCTTATTTATTTCTTTGGCCTGTAGTTTCTTGTGAGGTGTTTATGTCATTGTGTAGTTGTTTTCAGGTGCTCTCTTTTCTCTTTACTTGATGGATAGGGAAGGGAGACAAAAGCTTCTTGTGGGTAGCTACTTGGGAATGGTAGGTGATATGGTTTAAGGTAACTATAGTAGTTATTCTATTGGTCATGTTCCTTTAATTGGCAGGAACAAAATGCATATATATGCCTCATTCTTGACACTCAGATTGAGTGTTCTTTCCATGTTCACCAAATATAGTTTTTGCACCAAATGGAAAGAATATCTATACAATTTGACCATAATGCAAGCTTCACGATTCATCCATGTCGAGTATGATGTAATCCTCTCAGCAAGTATAAGCCATCTGTTGGTTAATGGGGCTCTCATTGAACATGAACTTCTCGGAGTTTCTAGCCTCCTTGTGAGGGTTACTTTGCTAGGCTGGGTCTAGATGCTTCATATGGTCCTAACCTCTATCTTGTCGGGCATTTATGGGTTTAATTAATAACAATTAGATGAGCTGTTGTGATTGTTCTAATGGTATATCTATAGTCATGAGCAGCTGTTTTTGTTTTGGATAAAAGTTGGCTGTTTCCATTAATGAGCAAATATGTACAACTTAATCTTTGTTAAAATATGCAATCTGTTTGTTAGTATGTTTGTACTAAAACATTTAGCAAAGTGTTTCTCAAGAGGCTATTATTTGAATGAGCAATCTAGTTTTGTTGGCTCCATCTTTAGTGGGGGAGTTAGCTCAGGAATTGGTTTCTCCACATGAGTGTTGGAAAGATGCATGCAAAGAGATGCAAATCTCAAAAAGATGGTTGGAAATATAATCCAATCTCCATAGACAAGCGGAGAAATTGTTTTCCCAGTTTGTTACATTTAAATGAGTCTTCTTTGACTATGAGAGTCTCCTCCAACTTAAATTGGAAACTTTGAGACCAGTTGGCAAGGAAAGGGCTTTGACGTGGGTGAATCCATGATTCCAATAGGGCAGGTGGGGACTGATGTGAACATCTAGAAATAGATTGAGTGGACCAAAGGAGATGGTCCACGTGGGAGGAGGAGGAGGGTGGGGCGCAGTGGTAATCCCCGCTCTTGATCCCACCACTAAGGCCTGTTCGTGGTAGGTCATGGCCTTACAGGAAGAGGCAACTGAGAAAGAGCCCGAACTGTTTGGGGCCCATTTGATTTTGCCGTGGCCATGCCCCTGGATGTACTGGTTGTGGAGGCTTCTGAGGAGAGAAGCATGGTCCGAGGTTTCTTGGTCGGTGAGATTTGAAGTCTTGGAGACTCAGAACATGTGATCGCCACGCAGTCGAGGTAGGAGGTGCCCATGGCTTTCTGGTTGCAGCAAGGAGTAGATTGGGGAAGGTAAGAGATCCCAACCAGAAAAGGGATCCCAACCAGAGATCTTCCCATAACCCTAGTCATTGACTTGATCTAACTAATATTGGCCGAGAACTCAGAATAGGCTGTAATTGCCTTTCAAACAGCGGAGCTTCGAAGTTTGATGAACCTCTTGGGAGTCAGTCTTGACCTTTTTCCAGAGATGGCACAAGAGATCTAAGCCCTATCACACTATTCAAATTATGGGAAGCAGAAAAGCAACTTCAGACACCCATTCTAGGATTACTTTGGGGACTGTTTTGCAGAAGCAAGAGAGTAAAAAAAATGGTAGGTACGTGATTCAAAATTGATCTAGTTTTTATCTAGAACCATGGGGTGTACTATGGGCTTTTCAAGCATAATGTGGGCTTGAAAATATGAACCAAAAAGCACCGTAACAGAGTAAGTACCTTGTTGGAAATGATGATTTGTAATAGATTACAACAAAATGAGGATGGCTTGATGGTGGCATGGAGCTCCAAGGTGAGTGCCAAGGACCATGGTGAAGATGGGGGAACAAGGGTTTAAGCTAGTGTGGCCATGGATTTCTCTCTCTATCTAAGACGAATCTGTCTCTCTCTCTTTGTCTCAATCAATGGGGCATGCCACCTCTCTTTCTCTCTCTAGTTTCACACTTACATTATAACATTGCTTTGTGTTGAATAGTTTGAAGAGTGAGAGATGACCCTTGTTTATAGGCTTTGGGTGAGGCATGGAGCTCCAAGGTGAGTGCCAAGGACCATGGTGAAGATGGGGGAACAAGGGTTTAAGCTAGTGTGGCCATGGATTTCTCTCTCTATCTAAGACGAATCTCTCTCTCTCTCTTTCTCTCTGTCAATGGGGCATGCCACCTCTCTTTCTCTCTCTAGTTTCACACTTACATTATAACATTGCTTTGTGTTGAATAGTTTGAAGAGTGAGAGATGACCCTTGTTTATAGGCTTTGGGTGAAAATGTGTAGAATTTTCTTATAAGGATCATCTAGGGCCCCTGATCTAGGAAATCTATGGGGTGAGAGATGCTTCATCGTAGCCATCTAATCTCTTGTTAGCTATTATGGATCAAGAGCTGGAAATTAACCCCATTATCTCTTGACGAAAATCAACCCGAATTTCCCTCCTATTTTGAACTAAATTTTCCAACCAATGAACGATGCCATGATCAAGGTTAAATCCAGTTAATTAAATTTGAATTTTGCACAAAGACATAATTGCCCATAATGAAAAATTCAAATTAAGAGAGAGAGAGAGAGATCATGTAGACATGGATTTGACCCTATGTAATAATTTTCTCTTCTTAAGTTTGAAATGTGAAATCTAGGAATTCTCT